AGTACCATGGTAAATGTTCAAATGTTAAATGTTAAAAATGGCATAACTATGGTAAAACGTCCACACACACACAAAAAAACATAGCATTACCGTGGTATGTGGTTAACTTCCAAAAACTATATTATCCCAATGGTACAAGTCCAAAACAATGAGGTATTACATGTCCAAAAGCCTTGGAATCACCTAAGTAGACAACTATAGTGCATGTTCAACCAGTTTTAGTGAGTGATGGGCGAGTGAACAGGCGTACCTGATGAGCACAGCGACTCCAGCGTTCTCCCGGCTCTCATAGACGGGTCTCCACGTGTCCTGGATCACACACACGTCGTCCTCCGTGAGAGTCTCGGGACTCAGTGTGAGCTCCACATCTCCGTCTCCCTCCATCCAGACGCTTGCCGAGAAACACTTGAGAGAGAGAGAGAGAGAGAGAGAGAGATGTGTGTGTTTTCTCCTCCTGCTGGGCTCTTTATTCTGCCTGTCTCTTCAAGAGTCTGATGAAGAGTTTCTGCTGAATGAAGGAGATCCTCCCACCCTCGACCCTTTATCTCTCGCTCACTCTCTCTCTCACTCGCACACTCGTGTTTTTCTCCCTCTTAACTCACGATCACACCTTCCCCCTTCAGTTCACTTGATTTTTCTCACACTCCTGCATCCGTCGGTCGCCCGCCCACAGGAAAGACATTTGTTTCTCCTGGGCAGCGAGAAGATTAGAGGAGCAAACAGAGGCTTGAGCTTCTCAGATGTGGCGATCCCCTGTTGAGTTTCAGACCAGATTTCGACTCAAATAACAAAGCCTGAATTCACATTGTTCTGTGGTTTTTGTCTGGTTGAATGTAACACCGAAACAGCCTATAAACAAGATACTGGGAGTCAATCCCAGTAGGAAATCTGGGGAGGAAATCCTAAAGGTTCACCCGAGGTAACATTTCTCCCAAAAATGTAGGCTATTTACTTCATACCAAACCTGTAGGGCTTTCGTTCTTCTGTGTAACACAGAAATATGAGGATTCTTTAGGGTTTGTTTCCAATAAAAGTCAATGGAGTTCAGTTTCCTTTGGACCTCGATGTTCTTCCAGTCACAGAAGAAAGAACGTCTTATATTTCCAGGTATGGATGGATGAAGTGTTGCTTTATGCCGTTGATCTAATCTCTCTGCTTTTGAATTTAGTTGAAAAGGTGCAGAAAGAACATTTCTCATCACATGATCTGAGCTGCTCCACATTCATCCCTCTCTCACTGGACGACAACTCATTTCGGTTCATGTTCAGGAGAAACACACTCGGGTAATTCCTTTGTTTTAATCTTGAACAAACACGAGCGCTTTGAGAGCAAACGTACCTTCGACACAACTGCTCAGAAGAACAGCTGCTCGTCATCTAGACTGGTTTATTACTCAGCTGTTGCTCTCTTATCGACTTAACGGCATTTTACGTAATGATTTATTAGAGTACAAACATGTTTCTCCTTAAAGTGCCATCAGGAGGAATATGAACAGGCTTAAATGGGTCGATAGCTGTCGTCTGTCGGGGGTATAGAGCTGTAAGAGGAGATTGGAAATGTTTGAGTTAATGTGTACTTTAGCATGATGAAGCTGTTTCTTGAGTGTTTATGAGCTTTTAACTGTAGACTGGTGGGTTAGAGGTGGATGTGTGCGTGTATGTGTGTGTGTGTACGTGCGTGTGTGTGTGTGTGTGTGTGTGTCACAGCAGGTCAGACAGACTCTTCAAACTTTCACTCTTATGTAATCACAGTACAGAGAGAGAGAGAGATGCAACTGAGTTCAACAGGACAGAAAGACTGATTAATGACCAGATGGACAGACAGACAGAGAGACAGACACACACACACAGACACACACACACACGCACACATACACACACACACACACACACACAGAGCAGAAGGTTTTCAAAGACAGAGGTTTTAGGTTTTCTTGGGTCGTCGGGTCAGTTTGACACCTGTCTGTCTGTCTCTATCTATCTATCTATCTATCTATCTATCTATCTATCTATCTATCTATCTATCTATCTATCTATCTATCTATCTATCTATCTATCTATCTGTCTGTCTATCTATCTATCTATCTATCTATCTATCTATCTATCTATCTATCTATCTCTCTGTCTGTTTATCTATCTGTCTGTCTTTCTGTCTGTATATCTATCGGTCTGTCTGTCTATCTGTCTGTCTGTACATCTATCTGTCTGTCCGTCTATCTATCTATCTGTCTGTCTATCTGTCTGTCTATCTATCTGTCTGTCTATCTATCTATCTATCTATCTATCTATCTATCTATCTATCTATCTATCTATCTATCTATCTATCTGTCTGTCTATCTATCTATCTATCTATCTGTCTGTCTGTCTGTATATCTATCTGTCTCTCTGTCTGTCTGTCTGTCTATCTATCTATCTATCTGTCTATCTATCTGTCTGTCTATCTGTTTATCTATCTGTCTTGCTGTCTGTATATCTATCTGTCTATCTATCTATCTATCCGTCTGTCTGTCTGTCTGTCTGTCTGTCTGTCTGTCTGTCTGTCTGTCTGTCTGTCTGTCTGTCTGTCTGTCTGTCTGTCTATCTATCTATCTATCTATCTATTTATCTATCTATCTGTCTATCTATCTCTCTGTCTGTTTATCTATCTGTCTGTCTTTCTGTCTGTATATCTATCTGTCTGTCTGTCTATCTGTCTGTCTATCTGTCTGTCTGTACATCTATCTGTCTGTCCGTCTATCTATCTATCTGTCTGTCTATCTATCTGTCTGTCTATCTATCTATCTATCTATCTATCTATCTATCTATCTATCTATCTATCTATCTATCTATCTATCTATCTATCTATCTATCTGTACATCTATCTGTCTGTCCGTCTATCTATCTATCTATCTATCTATCTATCTATCTATCTATCTATCTATCTATCTATCTATCTATCTGTCTGTCTATCTGTTTATCTATCTGTCTGTCTGTCTGTCTATCTATCTATCTATCTATCTATCTATCTGTCTGTCTGTACATCTATCTGTCTGTCCGTCTATCTATCTATCTGTCTGTCTATCTATCTGTCTGTCTATCTATCTATCTATCTATCTATCTATCTATCTATCTATCTATCTATCTATCTATCTATCTATCTATCTATCTATCTATCTATCTATCTATCTATCTGTCTATCTATCTATCTATCTATCTATCTGTCTGTCTGTCTGTATATCTATCTGTCTCTCTGTCTGTCTGTCTGTCTATCTATCTATCTGTCTATCTATCTGTCTGTCTATCTGTTTATCTATCTGTCTGGCTGTCTGTATATCTATCTGTCTATATATCTATCTATCCATCTGTCTGTCTATCTATCTATCTATCTATCTATCTATCTATCTATCTATCTATCTATCTATCTATCTATCTATCTATCTATCTATCTGTCTGTCTGTCTGTCTGTCTGTCTGTCTGTCTGATTATTAGTCCTGTGTAGTTTCTGTAATGGTCAGATGATGTGTGTCCCACACAGGTTTGTTACAGTAACTGAATATCCGAAATTTCATTGTAAACCCATGATATTTTTTGAAGTACCACACAGTACTCTCTTTACTCCAGTCTTTATAGTGTCACATGACCCTTCAGAAATCATATAATATGATGATTCGACACTCAAGAAACATTTCTGATGATTATCAGTGTTGAAAACAGTTGTGCGGATTCATATTTTTGTGGAAACCATTACATTCTATGGATAGGAAAATGTTGTAACATCATAAGGTCTTTGATGAATGTGTCCTCGATGAATATAAATATAAATGTTAAAAATCTTACCCCAAGATTTTAACAAATTCGATTTTTTATTAAAAGATCAATTCTAATTTCATGAAATCCCCTTATATATTGAAAAGCAACATCTGAGCAATACAATTATAAGGTCTTCATCTGATTCTGAACTGCTTATAGTATGAATATCATCACAGAACATAAACAACACAGAGAGAAATGTTGAGATCATTGTAGAAAAACTCACTCAGATATGGCCAAAATATTTCACATACATACATCACATATCAACTGAAGGATCTGCTTCAAACATGAGTGTATGTGTGGGTGTATAAGGTCAGGAATAATGAAAGGCAGATGCGAGTTATTTGAAGACACATCCCAGCCCTGAAGCATGTGACCCATTATTACAGATTCTCTACAGTATTTATAATAACCCTTCTGTTCAGACTCCGCTTCTGATGAGCAATTATAAAGTCAGTCATGCCAATGCTGAATAGCTGGTTGTACAGCATGTTCTCCCCTTGTGTGTGTGTATGTGTGTGTTTGTGAGAGATTCCTCCTGTTCTCCGGTTTCCCCCACAAACCAAAGACATGCATAAGTTAACTCTAATACGGGTAAAGTGGTTTGGATGATGGATGGATAGACGGATGTTGTTGTACTTTGCCATTACATTTAAGTGCACTTGGCAGAACAAACTGAAAGGTGTTTAGTTATAATTGCATTTTTGTGTTTTGTGTAATATGAGGTCCGCTTACAGCTATGTTTGAGTGGATTCAATGCCTCGGCCTGTAAATGTAAATTGTTCATGTATGTCTTTGAGCCTTCAGTTTGCTGCTTCTGCTGCCCTCTGGTGGAAGCTGGATGCAGTTACATATGAGAGACATGCCGTTTGTCATTTTGCACAACAAATATGTAGAAACTAAACAGGTTCACTGGCCAATGAAATTTAGGTAGCACTTTATTTTACAGTCCTGTTCCGCATGTGCTTTTTATGACAATTACAATAATTGTGTTATAATTAGGTACTACTCCTAAACCTAACCATAATAGTGACACTTAGCCTACATTTTAAAATCTTTATTCAAACATGGCAACATTTTAATTTAAAATATTTATTTGAAAATGGCAACATGATACCTCATTCTATAATATTTCTATTCATTTCTATTAGTTCATTACTGTAAGCACTAAACAGTGACTGCAAAAATATAAAATAAAACCCAGTAAAATTAAAGTAAATATCCTAATTTAAATAAAATGCACTCTTGACCCTTAACTCTTTAATGTAAATGTTTCCGTTGCTGCTTTTACCGTCTGTTTCTGAATTCGTGAAATCCAGACTTTCACATGCTAAAGATGGCACAAGTCATTAATTGGCAGGATCAGATTATGTTTCAGTGATTTTCTGTTGTTACAGTTTAACTGGTAAGATACTTAGGCATTTCATTTCATCAAGATTGCAAAAGAATGGAAAGAGTGTGTCAGTGAAGGTGGTTGTGAATGTGTGTAGATGTGTGTTAGTTACAGGATCACAGAATGACACCGTTCCACTGTCATAGTCTAGATAAACTCTCACACGCTCAAGATCCTGTTCAACACGAAAACCAAACCCAGACACATACAGTCTGTACGGATCATACTCCACACACCAGACATCAGTGTTCAAGAAATCACATCCTTTCCTCTGGTTTGATGCTGTAGTTACTCCAAGACTCCAGCATTCACTCTCTTTAACCTCCACATCCCAGCAGTGTGTTCCTGAGCTAAAACCCTCTGAACCCAGAACACAGTAATACTCATCAAACCTCTCTGGATTATCAGGAAGAGGTTGTTCGTTCCAGCTGTATGCCACACTGGTCAGATCATCAGACAGGACAAGACGTGGATGAGCCGAGTTTGGATCCAGAATCACCGGCGCTGATGAGACACAATCAACAGGTACTTTTGTTCTGTTGTTCATATAATGCACACAGATTGTTAAGAATTATGACAAGCAGTGCGCAATAAGTCATGAAGGATTTTTAAACTCATCATTCACTAAACAGCTTTAAACTACGCCATCATTTCTTGATGTAGATAATTAAATCACATCAAGATTCAGTGTATGAATCTCAACAATGGTGACAAACAGAATATTCAATTCATAATTATACATCAAGATTCAGTGTATGAATCTCAACAATGGTGACAAACAGAATATTCAATTAATAATTATTCAGATAATGCATGCATGATGGGAGCCATGAACGGGTTTTGATTGGTGGCACCCAAAATGCAATGCAACATGCTATATAGTTGTCATCATTGTTGAGAATCACAGGCTGATTCTTGATATCTGTGTGTCCAAATAAAATATTTTTTTTTAATAGAACTTTTAAGAAATCTTTTGGATAGTATTTAAATTACTGAAAATATTATGTTGTGTAATGAAAAGGTTAAACTCTACAAATGAATTTTTTGACAAATGATGATTATGTCAAAACATAACAAACATCACCTCATCAGCGTTCCTTGTTGTTTGATGATTGATCCTTGGTGTATCAATCATCACTCAATTATTCACTTAATTATCTCATTAACTTTAACACTCTTAAGTCTGGATCCAAATAAACTCCCAGAAAAGTTCATTTAATACTGGAGATTTAGCTGTTGGTTGAATAAAAATATGGCAGGACTTTTACTCTCTGACCCCTGGACTTTCCACCTCTGAAAAAGTAATGGGTCAAGAGCCCAACTAAAGCAAACAATGATCACTATAATGGTGACTTGCGTGAAAAACATAAAAACGAAACATTCCATAAAACATCACCATCTAAACTTCTACTACATCTAAATAAGACCGTGAGTAAATATATGACAGAAATAAAGTCAAACTGTTAATAGTACATGCAATCATGTTCAGTAGTTCTTGTTTTGGATGATTATTTCAGTAGTTCTTGATCGTGTATCTTCAATAATGCTCAATCATCAATTAATCACCTAATTATCTCATTAACTTCAACATTAACACACCGAGGAGTGTTAATTTAACACTGGGGATTTAGCTGTGTACATGATTTCCAGTGTTTTACAGCACAGATATTCTGCAGACTCACTGTATTGGATGATGTCCTGCATCTTCTTCCAGACTCTGAACGGCAGATTGCTCAAGAATGGTGACACATGAAGCAAAGATCCAGAATCCAGAATCCAGTAAGGATCCGGCTGTGAGATCTGGAATCTGGAAAAATGTTCAAGAGTCAGAACTGCAGTGGATCAGAACCAGAGAGACCAGAGCAGAGGTGTATAGTCCAGGAGTCACAAAGTAGAAGTCCTGCCATATGTTTATTCCACCCATGAACTCAGTCAGCTGATTTCTATCTCCTGGCTGAAAAACTGCTAATAAGAAAATCCAGGTGATTGGAACAAAATACTGAGTAGGACTTTTACTTTCTGAACCTGGACTTTACAGATCTGAAGAGAACTAGCACAGAGATTCAGTCAGGAGTAATCAGCTGGCAGAGGTCATGGGTGGAATAAAAACCTTGCAGGACTTTTACTTTCTGACCCCTGGACTATACACTTCTGGACACCAGCAGATCACTCACCTTTCCATTGAGACTGGAAATTTCTGCAGAACAAACACACCATTTATCATCAAGAACTCAATCAATCATCAATCAATCAATCAATCAATCAATCAATCAATCAATCAATAGATCATCAAGAACACAATCAATCAATCTATCAATCAATCAATGATGTGAAATTAGACCTTCAGAAAGCAGACGTCATTGGCTTTCATCATCTCCTCCATGTCGTTGATTGCGTTTGAAAGATCTGAGATGTGTGCGTTCATCTCCTCCAGCTTCTCCTTCATCATCTGCTTCTTCTGCTCCTCTTCCTCCCTCAGTGCAGTGATTGTAGCTTCTTCTTCATCTCTGAGGAACTGATGAAGCTTCTCAAACTGATGTTTAATCTGACGCTCTGTGTGCTCAGCTTGAGACTGAAATCAAATCACATTCACTTCAATCATCTCAAAGACTCAATTGACTCTGGAGCAGCATGAAGCAGTGGCTTGCACATGGGTAGGAGTAGGGGCACTATACAAAATGTATTGTGCCCTTTTCTGATAATTGTATACAATAATATGCTACTCTAAAAGTTGCGGCAGCGTGCGAGTTATATTTAACTATAATAAAAGTAGGCTATAACTCGATTTCAGATGCATTCTGAGTGACAATGTCATTCGTTTTTATCCAAGGCCATAGCAAATGTTATTAGCTTGGGGAAATACATTTAGTTAAATGAAATCTTAAATCCACTTCCAACTCTAAATTGTAAGGAATTTATATTTTTGATTTCAGTTAAGCTTTACAATAAGGTTAATTTGTTCATTATTCATGTATGAACCATGGGAAACACATTATTTGTTAATCTTAGTTAATAATACAACTGTTAGGCTAATTGTTTATTCATGTAATGTCACAGTCAGTGCAATAACTAATTATAACAAATGCAATTTTTGATTTTAATGTTTAAGTAAATGCTGAAATTAATATTAACTAAAGATTTAAAAAGCTGTAGATGTGCAGTCCATTAATGTTAATGTTACCGATTCATGATAGCTAACACTTTCATTCATATAATAGGCCTACATTCATTAAATTTACAACATCAGCAAAACTAAAAATTAATTTTCCATAATTACCTTCTTAATGCTCACTGTTTTGTTTGGTTAAGTAAATATTATCATAATTTCCCTATTTTCATTTGATGTGGTACGCATTCCAATTGTATCATCATATTTTCTTAGAATGCCATGGTAAGTAAGAAAAAAGAAATAAATAAATAAATAAAAAATTGGTGCCGTTTTTGGTCCTTCCCGCCCCCGAGGAGGTTTGTGCACGCCACTGGCATGAAGAGTGAGCTGGGAAATGTGGGTTAGTTAACTACAACTTTTTAGTCAATAAAGGAACATGGGAGTTATGTCAAAAAACATATCATCTGTTCTAATCCTTGTACATATATCAAAAGAATCAATCATTTTGATACAGTATATCAATCCTCACCTTGATGTGTTTAACTGTTTTCTCAAACTTCCCTTTAATGTTTTCATTGTGTTGAAGTTTATCTTGTAAGGACTTCAGGGCTGTATTGAGCTCCTCCTGGAATTCAAAGTGAAAATCTATAAGATTTTTGTAGGGATGCACCAATATGAACATTTTGGCCGATACCGATAATAATTCTTTTTATCCACAAGTTTCCGAGGGGCGCTCCTGTAAAAAATAAAGTGGGTGAAACTTCCGGTGAGGCGGCGGAAGTAGCATTCCAATGGTATTTTGTGTGTTAGTTAGCGAAGATGCTAGCTGTTTTTCGGATAATTATTTTACTATTTAAAGACGCAAATCTTTATGAGAGATGTCGTTACGGAGCTCAGGGACAACATGTGCTGTTCGCGGTTGTATGTATAACCGGACTAAACTAATTCAGTGGCTTAAACGTGATTGTTTTGAACATAAGCTGAAAACGAGTGATCCTGCCAGAGCCCGTCTCTGATCCTGCCAACGACTGTAACGTTAGTTTCCATCACCTCCCAAAAGACGACGAATCTTCCTGTGTACATTTTTTTTAATTCTTTATATTTTATAAACTCTATCAGCATGTGATTGGCTGTTCGCTACTGATGTTGCACCTAAACTCAGGATCAAAGCCTGTGTTGACAGAATACCAAATGTGCCAGTTAATGTATTCAAGCAGCACATTCATTTATAATTTTGAATAAACTCCAAAGCACAATGACTAAGTGTGTGTTTTTTATTTTAATTGTTTGTCAGCTCGCACATCTGTCTGTCACCATGCCTTGATGAGTATTGATAATTAATAATGTTATTATAATACTCCCAATCAACGACTGCGGAGGGTAAAGGTACTGTTATTTCACCCTTTTTAATTTCATTGAGGTTGCGTTCCCACATCGTTAGCTAGTTTGGATCGCTATAACTTGAATGACTGTCAACTGTTGAATGAACGAGTGTTAAGCATGTCAAGTCGCGCTTTGTTTACTTCCAACCGGAAGTCGCGCCCACTTTTGACGCAAGGCCTCATGGGGCGTAGGAAACTTGTGGATACCATGGTCTGGGTGAATACTCGATTCTGATTGGCTGCAGGGTGTCCGTTAAAAAGTGATAGAGGACACCTAGTAAAGTAGTTCTGGTGAAACTGCCTGTTTACCATTCGAAATTTATAAATAAATGCGCTGCCTACAACAGCTGTGAGTAACCATAGCAACAGGCAGTCAAACGCTCTATCAAAACAAACATCTAACGTTAGATACTATAGCCTAATACAACAATGAGCGACTTTGTTATTTCTTTTAACATTTATGGAGAATATGACAACTTTGACGACTGGGATGCTGCTGAAGAAAGAAAAAATGTAAATAAAATGGAGAAACGTCGCAAAGAAAATGACACCGCTGCTGCTCTGAATGAGACCCTGCGGGAGTTTTACGCAGCTGTCCAGACAACCAAGGCAGGAGGAGAGTACAGCGTTTCAAGCCGAAGAAGCCTGTTTGATTAATTGTTTTATGTGTAATAAAAAATTAAAAAAAACTATGCCTACCTTTGTGTTTCATGAAAAAAAAATGCATTTTGAACCTGAAGGGTTCTACAAGCTGAGCGGACTATAAATATCTCCGGTTGCTAAATAAACCAGGCGAGTTATTATTTGTAAAAATTTGATTTAGCCTAATTAAAATATAAAGTAGCAGCTAATGTTTTAAAAATGTTTTATTTGGCAAGTGACCATGCATAAGCGGGTTAATGCCCTCCGAGGTGTCCATTGTCAGGTTTTAATGGACTTCGGCGGAGGCAACCGTCCTCAGCTGCGCGTCGGCCGGTTCACGCCTCGCCGTCGTCCATTAAAACCTGACAATGGACACCTCGGAGGGCATTAACCCTTACATAATTGAAAGCCGATAACTGATATATCGGCCGGTAAATCTAATTCCAATTTTTATATCATTTTTGAAAGCCAGATTGCAAAAACAAAAGTCTCACAATTAAAATCCGTCCCCTAACACAATTGTAATGTTCTTATTATAATTTCATGTAGCCGATATCACAGCACATTTTGCACTTAACTATATTTTCCTTTTTGATTCCAATCATATTTCAAGCAATTAAAATCAATCATATTGAACAGTGTGCATCTTAAGTTTCTCAGGTGTCAAGTGTTGAAGGAAATAATTCATTATTTATCAGCTTTAATAAATCAGCCAAATTTTATTATCGGGCCGATAACGATAACATAAATATGAGCAAATATCGGCCGATACCGATATGGTGGCCGATATATCGTGCACCCCTAGATTTTTGCAATGTGTTCTGTAGTTAATTCATATTCATCCATCCATTGATTCAAGCAGGGACAGGTGCAAACTTCACATAGGCCTACACACTAGCTCAACCGGAACTCGAACTGGGGACCTTCTTCCCTTGAGGCGACAATGCCACCCACTGCCCTATATTTAAATCCGTCTTACCTTTTATAATGGAACTAATTAACCGATGGGTCTGAATGTTTGATTGTCGTGTTTCTATGAGTTAATACAAACTAAACGTTCTGTGATAGTGATGTGCGTTACACACAGGTAGAGGTGGGGGAGAAATCGATTCTTAGGGTGTATTCACACCAGGAAAGTCCGATAGTTCACTTGCTTTGGTCCGGACCAAATAATTCTTATTATTTTTTTTTTTTTTGGTACGGTTCGCTTTCACACTGCTCTTTTTGAAAGTGAACCAAAATTTGTAAACAAAACCATGGAGATATTTAGTACTGCAATATTTGTTCTTTTACTAATTTTGCGTTATTCTGTACAACGCGATATGAAGAAACCAATATAATGTTGCCTACGTTTTTTTACTTTAACGCGGCACTGTGCGGGAGACCTCTCATATGCCCTTCTCCTTCATCCGTTCAGTAAACAGGTTGAACAGTGAACACATCAGTATTTTTATGTGTCCTCTCCAGCAGCTGTGCTACATGGGCATCTGCCCAATGTTAATAAGGCAACACGTCTCTTCGAAGCTCCAGGACAAACCACGACTCATTTTATCAAATATAGTATGCTACAACAGATCACTTTCCCATAACGCAACTCCGACTATGGAAGCCTGTTAACTCAAAGGCGCAGTGCTTTCTTGCAATTGGGTCGGTTCATGTTTACAACGCAAACAAACCGTACCAGAGTTCGTTGGGAACCGTACCGAGACCACCCCAGACAGCAAACTGACATTGAATCAACGTGGAAACGACGTCTCTCATGACATTGAAACAACGTTGATTTGCTCATCTAATTAACGTTGAACCAACGTCAGACGCGGCATTCTTCAAAGCTAAATGAAATCGAAAATTGGTTTGCTTTCATAACGTTGAAACAACGCGTTGATTTCAAGTTGATTTTCCGTTAGTTTTGAAAGAATGACGCGTCTGACGTTGGTTCAACGTTAATTCGATGAGCAAAACAATGTCAGATCAACGTTGTTTCTAGTTCATATTTCCACGTTGATTCAATGTCAGTCTGCTATCTGGGACCTCTTCAGCTGGGTCTCGGTTCGGTTATTTGGTCCGCACACGAGTTCGATTGCGGTCCAAAAAGTTCGCACCAAGGGGGGAAACGAACTAGAGTTTGATTCAATCGAACCAAAAAAAAAACATGTTTGACAATATGACAACAGTTATGACACATTATTGTCCACGCAATCTCAATAAAATTGTTAAGTGTTTTCTTATATGCATATATTCAGTCATACCTTTGTTAATACATTTGCAAATAAAAAGTCATATTTTTTTGAAGAACACCTAACTCTGTAAATTATATTAAAATCATGTCTATGTAAATTACAATTTAACTCTAGACTGTTCCTCATATTATAAATTACAGCTGTTTACATTTATTTAGTTTGTAAAAAGTGTTTATCGCCTTTGTGTTATACAGTACATTTTTAGTGTGCAGCATTTTACTCTATAACTCTCAACTTAGATTATATTGAATAAATGAAAACAAACTATTAGAAAAAAATAGCTGCATCCTATTAATAAATAAAGTCAAACCTTGATTTCGTTGATGTCCCACTTAGCACAGCATCTGTCCATTTCCTTCTTCTTAATAGCAAGTGAACCTTCCTCTGAAAAGAACAGCTAATGCGAGAAGGATGGTGGTGACCACAAGCCCAACTAAAACAAAAACCAATCACCTGTAACGTTGAGGAGGCAAGGAGGAATCCAAATGCAGTAAGCAGTTTTTAATAATAATAATAAACTAAACAAAAAGGGAAATCCACGGAGAACAAAGAACTTGGAAACAGGAACTCAAAACTCAGAAACAAGAACTCGAAAACAACGCTACAGTGAAACATCGACCGACACCCAACAACTGAAACACAGGGGTTTAAATACACAGACAAACAAGCTAAATGAGGGAACAAGGGGGTGTGGTAAATCAGAAACACCTGGGAAACTTATAAACAAGAAAAACTACAAAGGACTACAAAACATGGCACAGAAACAGGAAATAACTAAAGTCCACACAAGACAAGGAAAACACAAGACAGGAATCGTGACATAGCCCCCCACCAAAGGAGCGGATTCTAGACGCTCAAAAAACAAAAACAAAAAAAAAAAAACTGTCCAGGTGGGAGGTGGAGCGGAGGCGGATCTGGGGGCGGGATGGAGGGCCAGTGAGGATCCCTCGGGCGGCCAAGGCGGTGAAAACCCTTCGGGCGGCCACGGCGGTGAAGACCCCTCGGGCGGCCACGGCGGTGAAGACCCCTCGGGCGGCCACGGCGGTGAAGACCCCTCGGGCGGCCACGGCGGTGAGGACCCTTCCGGCGACCACGGCGGTGAAGACCCCTCGGGCGGCCACGACGGTGAAGACCCCTCGGGCGGCCACGGCGGTGAAGACCCCTCGGGCGGCCACGGCGGTGAAGACCCCTCGGGCGGCCACGGCGGTGAAGACCCCTCGGGCGGCCACGGCGGTGAGGACCCTTCCGGCGACCACGGCGGTGAAGACCCCTCGGGGCGGCCACGGCGGTGAGGACCCTTCCGGCGACCACGGCGGTGAAGACCCCTCGGGCGGCCACGATGGTGAAGACCCCTCGGGCGGCCACGGCGGTGAAGACCCCTCGGGCGGCCACGGCGGTGAGGACCCTTCCGGCGACCACGGCGGTGAAGACCCCTCGGGCGGCCACGATGGTGAAGACCCCTCGGGCGGCCACGGCGGTGAAGACCTCTCGGGCGGCCACGGCGGTGAAGACCCTTCCGGCGACCATGGCGGTGAAGACCCCTCGGGCGGCCACGGCGGTGAAGACCCCTCGGGCGGCCACGGCGGTGAAGACCCCTCGGGCGGCCACGGCGGTGAAGACCCCTCGGGCGGCCACGGCGGTGAAGACCCCTCGGGCGGCCACGGCGGTGAGGACCCTTCCGGCGGCCGCGGCTGGGAGACTGGGCCCCCCCCAAAAAAATATTTGGGTTGAGTCCCCAGATTAGGGGCAGACGGGGCGTGGCCCATCTCTCGCTGGACGGTCTCGGGCTGGACGGTCTCGGGCTCGGCAGGGCTGACGTTGAACGCAGGCTCGGCAGGGCTGACGGTGAGCGCAGGCTCGGCAGGGCTGACGTGGAGCTCAGGCTCGGCTGGGATAAGTTCCGGTAGATCGGTCTCGGCGGCGGCCATCTTGTCCAGACACACCGGCTCAGCGGTGGCCATCCTTGGAATGAGGATCATGCGAGGACGACATGACTGGAGTTTCCCCTTTAGTGCTGCTGGATTCATGTTTGTTCGGTCGATCTGTAACGTTGAGGAGGCAAGGAGGAATCCAAATGCAGTAAGCAGTTTTTAATAATAATAATAAACTAAACAAAAAGGGAAATCCACGGAGAACAAAGAACTTGGAAACAGGAACTCAGAACAAAACTCAGAAACAAGAACTCGAAAACAACGCTACAGTGAAACATCGACCGACACCCAACAACTGAAACACAGGGGTTTAAATACACAGACAAACAAGCTAAATGAGGGAACAAGGGGGTGTGGTAAATCAGAAACACCTGGGAAACTTATAAACAAGAAAAACTACAAAGGACTACAAAACATGGCACAGAAACAGGAAATAACTAAAGTCCACACAAGACAAGGAAAACACAAGACAGGAATCGTGACATCACCACAGTGGTGACTTCAAATGAAACAAATAGTGGTGACTTCAAATGACTACGGCTGAAGTCTGTTTTAGTTCTTGTGTTTCTGCTCATTCCTTTTTCTGTTCTCTTCTTTCCTTCAGTGATTCTGCTTGTTAACAAATCTTGTCTTACGGCTGAGATAACTCCATAATACACAGGTTATGTGGCACCGATAAGGTCCAGTTCTGGTTTATTTCTTTGCGTTTGGCTGACTTGTAGCATTACTGATAGTGGCCCAGGTCTGGCAAACAGGAGTGAGAAGCCCAAGGGCCGTCATTCCAGGCTGCATGTGGGCCAGATCATCAAGTGTGCTAGATATGGGCTGGATCTGGGACGTCACAATGTTGCTATGTGGGATGCAGTTCAGGGTAGGATAAAATTTCTCCCTGTGAAAAAATATGTGTGTAATACTCAAAATAGTTTATGTGTTTTAATGTGTGTGTGTCTGCGTGTATGCATCTTCACATGCACAGGTCCAAGGGCTTAAAATAGAAGCATTTGACGATTAATCAGATGCAAATAGAAATATAAAACCAGTCCTAATTGAAAGAAAACAAGTTGACAAAAAGATTGAATCAACAAATCACCGTTTTAATGGAAAATGGTATGATATTCAATGCATTAGCACAGGAAATCAATGGGGCTGTAGTCATTAGGCGATAGGACAAAGTAGAGCTGTGTGTCGTAGCTGTGGTTTAGCAATTTGGTTCTTTCTCATTAAGAAGTTGAAGATATCATTATCTTATCATTATCATAAATCATTATCTTGTTAAAGATAGTTAAGTTCAAACCAGCATTAGTGATATGTGGAACCCACCTTTCCCACTCGGCAACCCTCAGATGGGTCACAACCACAAAAATAGTTTCCAAATCTCTTTGTCAATGTCAAGACTGTCAGTAGTCAATGGAAAGTCCCCACCATGGCTGAAACAAACTGAAACAAACAAAACCTTTTGTTTAAACTTGTAAGGGCCACTTAAAATATTATGACAACCGATTAGTGAGGGATATTTTACTGCTCCACACTAGTTTAAAATGAATGTAATTCAGACGAGACGTGTTTTAAAATAAATAAAATATCATAAGATAAAAATATCTTTAACCAGATATTAAATCAATTATGCAACTGCAATGTCCTCACTAAGATAGTTAAACAAACGTCTGTATGTGTGTGTGTGTGTGTGTGAGAGAGAGAGAGAGAGAGAGAGAGAGAGAGAGAGAGAGAGAGAGAGAGAGAGAGATGTGTGTGTGTGGTTATGTGGGTAACACTTGAGTAAAGAAAATACATGATGTTTCGTGTAAGTGTCAGTGCTTATTTCAAAGAATATATCATTTGTAAATGTTGACTTACACTCTGAGGCTCTTTCTGGACATGTATAGTTCATTTTATTTTCTTTCTTTGCTTGTAATAATTATATATTTGACATATTTCTTGTGGTCTGAATATATTTATACAAAAATTAGTTGTATTTTTTAGCATTTGAAAATACTTACTGGGTCCAAAAGACTGATGCCAATACAATGCTTCTATTTTAAAATACTTTTATTTTCTTTACATTTTATAATCAGACCAGTATTACAATTTGTTGCATGTGCAATATTATGTAGACATGTTGAATAAATATATTTTCGTCAGGTCAGACACTGATAATTAACTCAAACTCCTTTATCTAAGCCTCTAGTTCTAACCAAATCCTTGTCCAACGTGCAATAGTTTGTGGGCAATATTAGACGTTAGAGTGTGCATCGATCTGCACTTTGGATTCTGACAGAAATAGTAGACCATCCGGGTATCTTTGGAACACTCATTTCAACATAAGATTTTGGATAATTCTACACTCTCAGAAAATAAAGCACATAATTGTAATTGTAGGGGTACAATGGCTTGTCACTGGGGCTGCAGCCTCAAGTGTACAGATTTTGTACCAAAACTGATCTCTGACCTAAATGTATATTGTTGATTCCAGCAACACTGTGATTAGTGATGTGACATTTGAACCGAGGCATCGGAGCTTGTGTCGAGAAAAAATGGGCGTGCCAGAGGAAGCCACGATTCAAGGCTTGTGTTGTTAACGTTAAAATCACGTGACGTGACTAATGACAAACGAGGCCTCGGTTTGTGTGAAAATGTCATTGGTTCAGTCTGAGTGTCGCCTCCAGATAAATGGGTTTCGAAACTTGCCCCACCTTCTGGGTGTTGCAGGAGTAGTAGAATCAGGTGTAGTGTCAGAGAGTCTGGTGAAGCAATGGGCTGTGAGGTCTCAGTGGTTCAGGAAGCCTTGTTTTGCCATCACTAACTGCCATCCTGAATTTTCTAAATAATCTAAAGGATTTCTAAAAAGTTGTTCTGATAAAACAAAATCTTTCTTTTAGGCACACATAGATAGGGCTGGGCGATATATCGCACGATATTGTTATGCGCATCTAGTCAGTAAAGCCGGTTCCTTGATTAGCAGTAAATCACCTTCACCTGCTTTCAGATGGAGCGGCATTTACTACAAAGAGCCGTAGTTCACTGACAAGCTGAGCCAAATCGCATTAATATCAAGGACGTATCACCAGTAATAATTAATGCGATATGGCTCAGCTTGTCAGTGAACTACGGCTCTTCGTACACAGCAAAAACTCCAGTGTTTAATTAACGCACCTGGGAGTGTATGTGAGTCCACACTCAAAAGTGTTAAGGTTAATGAAATAATTAAGTGATTAATTGAGTGATGATTGAGCATTATTGAAGACACCTAAAGCAGAATCACTGAAGGAGAAAATCTAAAATAGTAAGTCACCATTATGGAGATCAGTGTCTGCTTTAGTTGGGCTCTTGACCCTTATAATCAGTAGCGGTTCTAGGCACGGGCGAACCGGGCAGTTGCCGGGGCGGCATTTTTTCATGTCACATGGGGGGAGGCACGAGCAAAAAATCCTCTTTGCCGCGAAGTTTTTCTATTTTTTATCATTTCGATTCAATTATTGGCAATAACTGCTTGCTGAGAAGGTGCCGTGCGCAGAAGCGATGTCAAGGGGATCTCCTGATTAGTTCACGTATCGCGTCTTTTGCGCGCTCGAGGTTGTTAT